GTGCGCTACTTTGGAGGGGGAGACCGGGGGTTGCCACGCCCCCGGCTCCCGAACCTTTTCGCGACCGTCTCGGGAGAGAAAAGAGGGACCGAGTGACCGGCCCCCCCACCTGCTGGGAGGTCCGGACGGAGTCCGTTGGCCGGCTGGGTTCGCCGAGCCCAGCGGGGTCGCCGCCCGCCTCATCTCGCTCGTCCCACTCGCGTCCTCCCGGGTGGCGCCCGGGGATCTGCACTGGGGTCGAGAGGAGCGGAGACGGGCTAATGCGGCCCTGCGATTTTGTTGTGTGATGTCATCATATGCTATCACATTCTGTCTGCCTCTCATCTCTTGTTTCAATTCGTATGTATGGTTTGACTGTGTGTGAAAGAATTTGTGTGTGGTGTGTTCTGGAGTTTGGGAATGTGTTTTGTGTTATTCTGTCTGAGCAGGTATTTGTGATGATAGATCTTGAGAAGATCTTTCCGACGCAACAAGAATCGCTTCAATCGGAGCAAGAATGCGAAAGCTATGAAGATTCAAAGTTCATGAGCTTGCGTTACAATTGCGGCGGTTACAAAGTGAAGTTGTGGGGTGACTTTATATGGAGTTGGGACCTTTGGGGTTGGGGAAACTTGTCACTCTACTGTAACAGCTGCAAATTGGTTGGGAACAACCAAGCTAGGTTGGCAAGGGTGGCCAACTTGGATGGATTGGTTGGGAAGGGACAAATGTCAAAGTTTGGGTTCCTATAGGGAGGGAATCTTTGTGCTTATGGGGTTTCCTTGGTTGGGGACTCTCTTGGGACCTCCCCTCTCATCCCTCTCTTCCTATCCCAACCTTTCTCTTGCTCCTTCTAATTCCTTGTGAGATTCTTGAACTTTGATTGAACCTTTGAGATTGAGTTAAGTTCTCCTCCTACAGCTTACCCCTAGTGCGTCGAAAGCCATAGCGTCGCGAATACTTTATCAATCAACATGATTCAAATTGGGAACGGTAGCTGAGATTAAGAGCTACAACATATCCAAGTTTCGCGACATTCCAACGGCTAGTTGTTTGTCGACGTCGTTTCTTGTGAAGACGACTTTTCTGTCCAGAATTTCGGATTTATATTTTGAGTAATTCTAGCTCCTAAGTTCACCTAGACTCCGTCCTTAATCCTAACAAGTGGTATCAGAGCTGTATTAAGGACGTTGAGAGGAGTCTACAGAAGTGTGAAGACCCTTCTAGACCCACCATGGCCTGTGGGTGTGCCTAAGTGGTGTTCTCAAGGTTGGATGTGTCTTCCGCTAAGGGAAACTCTGCCGAAATTTCGTGGACGCCGACACTTGTGAAAATATCGAGGGAGCTGAGTGTGGACAGCAAAGGGGGGCTGAAATTCGTCATTTCTCAAGGAGAAGATGAATGAGAGAGGAGGAGATGCTAATGGAAGAGGAGCTGTAGCTGAGAAGACAAGTGAGCCGCCGCCATCAAAAGTAGAAGCTTTGGATGGCTCCAACTATGAGGAATGGAGCGGACGGATGAGGAGTGCCTTCAAACGCTACAAGCTACTGAAGATTGCTGTTGGGGAAGAGAAGATGCCGGAAGAAGGCGAAGCACGTGAACGGTGGATTGAGAAAAGCACGGTGCTTTTCGACCTCATCCTTCAATCGGTCAACAAGGAGATTGGGAGCTGCCCTACATGCTTGGAGACCAAGTTCTCCAAGTTCCCCTTCAACAGCACTACAGGACCAGCCAAGACCCCACTTGCACTTGTGCATATGGATGTGGTGGGGCCCACAAGAGCCCCTTCCCTCTCAGGCAGCCGCTATTTCTTGACAATTGTGGATGACCACACTCGGGCAGTGTGGGTTTACCCTTTGAAGAGCAAGGGGGAGGTGGCAGCGGCTGTCCTTAAGGAGTGGATGCCGAGAGCTCAGAGGGAATGCGGACACAAGGTGAAGGTGATCCGTAGTGACAATGGTGGGGAGTTCATTGGAGCTGATTTTGAGGGGGAGTTGAAGAGGAAGGGGATCCAGCATCAACTGACAGTGCCCTACAACCCGCAGCAGAATGGCGTGGCTGAGAGGTTCAACAGGACCCTGCAGGAGGGGGCACGCACTCTCCTTGGGCGTGCAGGGCTACCTGATCCGTTTTGGGTGTCTGCACTGAGGCAGGTCGCCCTTGTGAAGAATAGAGTGCTGGCTACAGTTGGGGATAAGGAGTGGATCCCATATACCAAGTGGTATGGGAGTGCTCCAGCTGTGAATATGCTGAGGGCATTTGGGTGCATGGTAGTGTTTCATGTGCCTAAGGAGAAAAGAGGGAAGTTGGAGGCTTCTGGAAGATGGGGTGTGCACTTGGGGATTGCAAAGGATCACAAGGGATGGCTTCTATGGGACTTGACCATCCAGAAGCTGACAGTGTCAAGGGATGTGAAGTTTCTTGAGTCCCTGTACTATAAGGAATGGAAGCAGCAGCAACAGAAGCTTCCATCTACACCACTCATTGTGGAGGCAGATGAGTTGCAGCAGCCTTCAAGGCAGGTGGAGGTTGCAGTGTCTGAGGAGGAGATATCTGGGGTGACTGAAGAAGGGGGAGCAGCTGAAGTGGAGCAGCAACAGCAACATGAGTCTCCACCTCGAGTTCCACACCCGCCTGAGCGACCTAGGAGGGATGTGCGCCCTCCTGTGAGGCTGACCTATGGGGGAAGAGGCAAGCCAAATGTGGTGCAGGCTGGGAGTGTGGTTGAGCAGATTGAGGAAGATGAGATCGCTCACTGCTACTGGGCACCAATCCCTGAGCCCAAGACTCGAGAGGAGGCCTTGAATGGACCAAATGGGGAGAAGTGGAAGGCGAGTGAGGATGAGGAGTTCGGGTCCCTAATTGAGAACGAGACATGGGACCTGTGTGACTTGCCTCCTGGAAAGAAGGCAATCACTTCCAAGATGATCTACAGGCACAAGTATGGACCTGAAGGGGAGCTGACCCGCTACAAGTCTAGGCTTGTGGCACGGGGGTTTCAGCAGACAAAGGGGAAGGACTATGATGAGGTGTTTGCTCCTGTGGGGAAAGGAACAACACTGAGGGTGCTGTTGGCGATAGCTGCACTCCTGGGATGGAAGATACGGCAGATGGACATTGTGACTGCCTTTCTGAATGGGATCATTCTGGAGGAGGTGTACATGAAACAGCCAGAGGGGCTGGATGACGGGAGCGGCAGGGTCTGCAGGCTGAAGAAGGCCATCTATGGCCTTAAGCAGGCGCCTCGTGCATGGTATCACAAGTTGGAGGAGGCGCTGTTGGCTGGGGGTTTCAAGAAGAGTGAGTGTGACCCCAGCCTGTTCCTGCTGCAGGAGAAGGATGAAATCCTCATGCTCTTGGTGTATGTGGATGATATCCTTCTCTTTTCTGCATCCACTGCTTTGCTGGACAGCGCAGAGCAGATGCTGGAGATGCAGTTCAAGTGCTCCAAGATGGGTGAGGTGAAGTACTACTTGGGGATGCACGTGGAGAGAGATGTGGAAAAGGGTGTGCTGAGGTTGCACCAGAGGAAGTACTGTGAGGGGCTGGCTGAGAAGTATGGGCTGCAAGATGGGGGAAAGCCAGCAACACCACTACCTTCAGGGTTTACTGTGGAGCCATGTGCTGATGAGGAGGTAGTGGGTGAGAGTGACAGGAAGCTGTTTCATTCGATGGTTGGGTCGCTGAATTATGCTGCAAATCATACACGGCCTGACATTGCATTTTCTACATCACGGTTGGCTAGTGTGGTCTCACGCCCTAGTCATGAGCAGCTGGAAGCGGCCAAGAGGTTGGTCCGCTATGTGAGTGCTACGGCATCAGTGGGATTGGAGTACAGTGGAGTGAGGCAGCGGTTGCAGAGAGGTGCTGCAGATGTGAAGAGTGGAAAGATGCTCTTGAGTTGCTATACTGACGCTAGCTTCAACTCAGTGAAAGCGGATGGCACCAGCATTGGGGGTTATGTGTGCTTGCTAGGAGGTGGTGCTGTGAGCTGGCGCAGCAAGAAGCAGAATGAGGTGGGATTGTCTTCATGTGAGACTGAGTACATGGCCTTACACCATGGGGCCAAGGAAGTGGTATGGCTGAGGCGTTTGTTGGAGGAGTTGGGAGTTGGTCAGGAGGAGCCGACAGTTGTGTTCTGTGACAATGAGTCTGCAGTGAAGCTGGCCAAGAATGCTTGTCTGCATGGGCTGACAAAACACATAAGGCCTAAGTGGCATTGGGTGAGGAGAATCCTTGATAAGGAGGTGCGGCTGGAGATAGTGAAGACCCATCAGCAGGCAGCAGATATTTTCACTAAGCGTCTTGCGGAGGCGGATCATTGGAAGGGCATGAAGCTTGCTGGGATGAGTGTGCATTGAGTATGCATGCTTGAGATGTGGTATGGTCGATGATGGTTGGCAGCCAGAGGGGGAGATTGTTGTGTGATGTCATCATATGCTATCACATTCTGTCTGCCTCTCATCTCTTGTTTCAATTCGTATGTATGGTTTGACTGTGTGTGAAAGAATTTGTGTGTGGTGTGTTCTGGAGTTTGGGAATGTGTTTTGTGTTATTCTGTCTGAGCAGGTATTTGTGATGATAGATCTTGAGAAGATCTTTCCGACGCAACAAGAATCGCTTCAATCGGAGCAAGAATGCGAAAGCTATGAAGATTCAAAGTTCATGAGCTTGCGTTACAATTGCGGCGGTTACAAAGTGAAGTTGTGGGGTGACTTTATATGGAGTTGGGACCTTTGGGGTTGGGGAAACTTGTCACTCTACTGTAACAGCTGCAAATTGGTTGGGAACAACCAAGCTAGGTTGGCAAGGGTGGCCAACTTGGATGGATTGGTTGGGAAGGGACAAATGTCAAAGTTTGGGTTCCTATAGGGAGGGAATCTTTGTGCTTATGGGGTTTCCTTGGTTGGGGACTCTCTTGGGACCTCCCCTCTCATCCCTCTCTTCCTATCCCAACCTTTCTCTTGCTCCTTCTAATTCCTTGTGAGATTCTTGAACTTTGATTGAACCTTTGAGATTGA